TTTTACAAACCAGATACTACCTATAATTTGTATGAGGAAGGTTCGGCCTTAGTTTCATTAAAATGCAAAAGCTTCATAAAACCACCTAAGAATTTGACTTTTTGATGCAAATAGTTAATAAACTCAAAAAATTTTGAGCAGTAATTGTTCTATGTATATGAAGAACAGGACAAAAATAATATATAAATATATATATATATATATTGTGTGTGTGTGTATTAATTGTTTAAATGATCACCTAAGAAGTAAAACAAGACAATGCAAAAAGTACAAACAATTCTTTTATAAGAACATTTAATTTGGAAGTGACAAATAACAATGTTAATTTCAAGTATGCAAAGTTTCAGTTTCTTGAAAAATCCCTAGAGACCCCAAATAAATGAAATATAAAATAATTAACAAATTATGATATAGGTGAAGAAAAGATAAGAGGAAGATAGCTCGCAGTTTTGGGATGCCTACTACATTTAGAACACTATGCTGGATACTTTCTAGTTTATTAACTGCCAATGCTTCACAAGTACCCCTTTCTCCAGAACTTCCACTACCTTTCTAAAGTGAAAAACAAAGTTTAAGTATCCTCCCTAGGCAGGTAGCTGTTAGATTTACACAGTGGTTTTTCTAAACCTAAAATTCATATTCTTTCTACTATATAATGCTTCCTTCTTGATAGTTTGGTGGAGTTCTGACACTCTGACTATCTGTATCAACTCATATTTCTGGTAATTTCTAGTGTATTTACAGAAGAGAGACGAGGGGGGATGGATGGTTGTGGGATAGAGCACATCTAGAGGAATAAGGGGGCAATGTGCTATGTTTTAGAGACAGCTAAAGCACTTTACTGAAGCTGATCTAGGTTGCAAAATTAAATATTATATAGTAGAAAAAGTACAATAATTGAAAGTATCACCTATGAAACATCTAATATGTTCCAAACACTCTACTAATGCATTATATACATTACTATTTTAATCTGAAGAAAGCCCCCATATAATACATATCACATACTGGAGATGGAAGAAAAGATTCAAACTGTGAGATAATTTTTTAGATTACATGGATAGAATATTTGTCTTCTGTCATGTTGACCATGATCCACTGACACTGGTGCTGACTCCATCTACTCTTTTCCATCTCCCCCCCCCCTTTTTTTGAGAAAACTGTGTCATGTGCCAAGCAAAGGCAAGTTGAAAGCATGACTGAAGTTCGAAACAGCTGAGTTAGGAATGCCACCTTCATGTCACAACTACCTGGAACAATAACTTCCTCTCCTTTGTTACCTGATGATTGACAGGATTTAACTAGATATCTTCCTATACACATTGTGAAACATTTTCTCATGATTAGTAGGCACTATTTGTGCAAATACAAAAAAGAAAATAAAAGAGTAATTTTAAAAACTTAAGTTTTAAAAACAGTAACAAAGATACTATTTTAACCCAATGAACTGTGTAAAGGAAACTGAGTGTCAACAATAACATTATCTTACATTGGATGATCAGACATTCTCAACCTTTTTCACTACTCTTTTCTACATAACCCTTAAAAATCCTAGTAATCACTGTGACATATTCCATTTTTACTTTTCAGTATTTCTGTTCTTTAAGGAACTCTTCCACTCCCATACCTGGAATATTATATACTCAATGAGTTCCAAGCTTATACTTTCAGTATAATTCTTTCTTTTAATCATCCATTCACTAATTATCTATTATACCCATTCATCTGAATAAGTCATTGCCACCTCAGGTTCAGTATATCTGAAATAAACTGACCCTCCTCCCAACTCCAAGAAATCTGCTCTTTCTCTTCTCCTTTTTTACTCCCTACCTCAATTACTGGATGCACAGAGTGCAGACTTTGATGACATTAGTTTCTACATTATTTGGGAGGTTAAGATATATACTGTTCCCTAAATCTGACCTCATACATCTCCACTGTGATATTAAGCCCTCCTCCACTCAGTCTTCACTAAATCTTTTATGGTAATAGTGTTGTTCCCTTTGACTCTCAGCCAGACATCTGGTAATCTCGCCTGTAGATTCACCTTTCTTCATTTTAAGCAAATAATATGTCAACCTGTTGGAAGGTTTTTGTGGCTTCCACCTGCTCATAGGTTAAACTCCAACATCTTTATCACAGTTCAAAAGTTTTCTTACCATCTGGTCCCAGTTCACCTCACTGGCATTGAATCTTTTCATTCTTACTGAACATGCTGGGTCTGAGCTGTAGTACACAACTAATGCTCTCAAGAACTAGGAATGCTGTCATGCTGTCTCAATTTTATGTTTTCTTTCCTCTGATTCTCCGTCCTCCTTCTAGAAAAAATCCAACTCATCCTGCAAGACTAAGATCAAAGACAAACTCCTTTTTGAAACCATCCATATTGTATTTATCAGCTTTACAGTCTCTCTGCTCTCATGATGATCTGTTCATGAATATCATATGCCATGTAGCAATCATTGTGATTTACAGGATGGGTGTTTTTCAAGGGCAGGGATGACAAATCTCATATAACCTCTACCACAGTGACTGAAGATTGTAGGTCTTCAATCACTCTGTTGTCAGCCGACTTAAATTTTTCACACAATATACATAACAGATTTATAGATTATGTATCACAGTTATATGCATTAGTATGCAAATAAATTATGTTTACACATGCGTCTATTTATTATGTATACACTTATATAAGTATTAATATTTATGAAGCACTTTAGAGCTGAAAAGTCCTTAAATAACATCTTGTCTATTCAGTGAATATCACCAAGAACCAGTCTTATGACTTTACCAAAATCATATAGCATACTAATGACAGTAAAAACCTGTCTTAGTTCTTCATCCAGTGTTAATGAGTAACTCAATGATCTCACCAGAAAAGTGATTTCCTATAAACTTGTGTGTAAGACACAGGTTCACCTCATTGGAACAGACATGCTGAACAGAATCACCTTTTTTCTGCAACGGCCCTTCCTCTTCCATTTTCATGTTTATAATTCAAAGTAAATCCACTTGCATTTTTATTTTCATCAAGTGATAAACATTATGATTCTATCACCTTTACATTTTCATTCATACTGCATTCCTTTACTTTACATATCACCTAGTTCCTCTCAGAATGACTTTCAACTCCTTTGTGGATGTAGAAAGATTTCTTTCCCTCCTGGTGGATATAATGAAAAGTTCATTATTTTTCTCTAGTTTCATTCACCATTTCTCCTCCAAGTCAAGGCTCACTAGTCAAGGGAAACAACATCATTACCCACATCATCTTAAGAGAATATTTGCACATAAGTTCACAAACTACTTTCTCATAACTCATTCATTTGATTTTCACTATGGAGGGTCACAAGAAGATATTACACTTAAAAGCAGTTGATATAATGAAGAGACAAAAGCTAAGTGAACTGCAACATTCCCACAGTTTGTGAGAGCTGGAACTGGCACTGGAATCAAGGTCTCCATCTCCTTTTCCTGAAAGCTTTCCACTATTTTACGCTGTTTATTGGCTTGAGTACCTCCATGACATTTATGTTGACATATATTGGCACCTCAGATACTGCATAGTGAATATTGTCTAGGTTTTTTTTCATTCTGAATTACTGCTTGCATGGTCGCTGTTGTTTGCTTAAAAGCACAAACTCCAAGTAGGAAAGTACTTACTGTTTTGCCTGTTACTTGTGACGCCCTTACCAAGCCTCCAACTAACAACATTTGATAGTATAAGTATAGTTTGATTATGTGTTTGTCATCGAGAATGAGCTTTTAAAAAATAGGAAGGCCTTCACTAAATTAGAAAACACCCTCAACTGTTTCAAATCATATAAATTAATTTGATTTCATCTTCATCCATTAATCAACTAATCTTTAAACTTGAAAGTGTTAGCAAGAATGATTTTGCTTTGTTTCAAGTCCATATGTGTGCATATGCATAATTCAAGCCATATCTCAAGGCAAATTCTGTGGTATACCTTTAAATAAATTTTTTTAATCTCAAAAAGCCGCTGAATAGACGTAACTTCTTTAAAAATTCAAGCTATCAATGCAATCGTAGTGTACATTAATCTGTCTCTTCAGCAGGACTGCAGAGATGAGCTTGAAGCTAGGAAAAAGACCAGCCCTGCAACTAGTTTACAATCCCATGATGAACATTTTTTAAGGCATCCCCCTCCAGGATTAAGCAATGTTAAGGAACTCTTAAACCATCCCGGGTTCTAAGCAACAGCGATAATCTTTCCTCACTTTCTTCCTGTGGGCATGTGAAGCCTCAGGTTTGGGCAAGAATCCTCACTGTCCGCATTGTTTTCCCCGTCACCGCTTCAGAAGGACTTTCAAGCACTTCCGGGGATCTACAGAGGGGCAGTTAGTAGCTTTTGTTGGATGGTTGAAAACAAAGCAAAAGAATTCTCATATAAGAAAAAAGTTTAAAAGCAAACACCCTAACAAGTACCTCTTTTAAAAATCACTGACTTTACATAATTTTGCACCTTAGAGCCCCCTTCGCCTCTGATTGCGAAACCATCCCCACCTGACTTATTTCTGAATGCCCCATAGATCACAAAGCTCCGCTTAACAAATTCAACTCTGAATTCGCAGACCGCGCCGCTGAGGCCAGGGCTTTGGCCACAAATAGAATAAAACCTAGAGCCTAACTGTTTGCTTGTTCTTTGCTAGGAACAAACTCTTAAAACCTCGAGTAGAAAGGATAATCCAGAGGTTAAAAATAATTGCACTTCGTCCTGAAAGTGCAGGGTTGCCCTCATTAACTGCAGAGCTGCTAGAGAAATATTTCAGCGACTCACAGTCGCTTCTTAGTTGTTCTGTTTTTCTTTCCTAATAGCATCGGACATGACCTAATTTGCTTGCAGGAATCATACTTTTCCCCTTAGGACGCCGGCACAATCGGGCCGTCTAGAAGGACAGGGGTCCCTTCGGGAGTCCCGCCGCTCTTCAGGGTGGACCCAGATGTGGGGATGCAGGGGCCGCTGGGCGCCGCTTACCGGTCTTCCACAGATAGGGGCTGGGCGCCTCCGCTTCGCCCCGCGCCGCAGCCCGGCCGGGCCCGGGGCACAGCAGGAGCAGCAGCAGCAGCAGCAGCGGTGGAGGCGGCAGCGGAGGCTGCAGGACGCCCCGGCGGCTCCCGGACGCCGAGCGCCCGCCTGGCAGCCCCATGCCTCCCGCAGCCGCTCCAGGGTCCGGAGCCGCAGCACGCTCGCCGGGGCTTTTCCTTCGCACTCGGCACCTCCTCCCTCCCCGAGGAGGACGGACGGCCACGCTCCCCCCGCTATTGTTCGCTAAGGATGAAGAGCAGCGAAAGAGCGTCTAACACCGGGGAACAATAGCGTCCGCGGCGGCCGAGGACGCGGCTGCCTCCGCCGCCTCCGGCGGGGACGCTCCTGCCGCGGCCATGGCGCGGAGCGCGGGTCCTGGCGGCGGAGCGGGCGGGCGGCCGTCCGCAGGGGGCCCAGCTGCCCGAGCCGAGTGCGCTCCGCGAACAGCGCCGCCGGCTGGGGCGAGGAGGGCGGGGGCGCGGCGGAGGGGCTGCGGGGGGCGGGGGCACGGGGAGCGGCAGCCGCGGCGCCCGGACCCCACCTCCCGCCCTGCTCCAGGGCACATGCTGCCCTGAAATATGTGCGCGGGGATGCACCGATGAGGAGCATCATCACCTGGCAGGCGTTGAAATTCATGGGCAACCAAGGAGTCAAGTGGCTAGATCCAGCGGCAGGTCCTTCTTAGTGCGCATTTACACTGAGCACCGTGTTGGTAATTTATTTTAAGCCATGGCCTCTGAATTACTTTATGTGAGGAGCAGTATTTATGATGAGATATGGGAAATGAGAAGCAACAGACGCTACTACTTGCTGACCAAATGCAGGCACACTTTGTTGTTTTTCGTTTCTAAGTCATCATCCTCAGTTGAAACAGTGAGTACTGTTGATCTTAGACAGATTAAAGTACATTCTTGTAATGGGCTTTAAAACAAATTGTGTTTAAGAGGGACACCCATGAGTGGAATTTCACAAAAACTAATCACAAAATATATGATTAATTTATGATTATATCACATGTGAACGAAATAAAAGCTCTTTTACTTCTCGGGTGAAATACGCTATTTGACGATCTGTAGGAAGTTAAGAGTAAAATTAAAGGTCAAGTTGAGTTAGCAGCATTTCAGGATAGCTCCCAACTAGTGAATTTCTGTTGGTGGTGCTGCTGCTGTATGTGATGGGAATTGAACTAACAGCCTATAGATGCTAGCAAGTGTCTAGCTCTGGTCTACAGTGCCAATCCCCAATTATTAAATTCTTCACTTATAATATTCCTGACCTGATTTCTCCTCATACTTTCAGAAATAGAATGCCTTTCATAAGCAAAGTAAGGAATCACATGACTTTTTGTCTTGTTTTCACTTTCTTTTGTCAGCAATAACAGAAGCATGTGCGAAGCCAGATAATGTTATATACCCTTTCCCTTCGGCTCCCTTTCCCACAATAACAATCTTTCATTTTTAATTCACTTCCCAGTAAAACTAAAATAGTAATAAAGCACTTCGTCAGTTCAGAGCCCAGCAAACAGAAAGCCAAATGAAAGTATTCTCATCTGCTGAGCAATTTTCTGACAAATCAAATAAAATTTAAAAGGCAGGAAGACTACTCTTTATGAATTCACTCCAACTACACAGCAACCCAGGAGTTGAAAATGAGGAAGCCACTGTTTCTGAGAGAGGAAACCTTCCATCAGGCTCCCCAGGGACATTTGTCATTTTTGCAGAGCCTTCCAGACACAGCCCTCTGCATGCATTAGATTAAAAGCAGGTTTGATCAAATAATTCCCAGGTCCTGCCTGTTTAAGTATTCTGACATCAGAAAAAATTAGCTACGTTGAAGGTTGCAAATTTGGTCTTTGTTTACTTTTCTCTCTGTTAGTCCTCTAAGAGGGAATTAAAAGCTCAGAGAGCCCTAGCTCTGTGAGTCTGTGATTAGGAGAGATAAACTAGTATGGATTACTATTTCTTCACTGATGAAAAACAGGCAACAATCAAAAGATTATACGTTGATAAGGGATACAAAGAAATCCTGATCCTAACTAATGTGTGGCTCCCTGGTGGAGCGCTTCTTTCAACAGCTGTACCACAGAGGAAAACAAATGAGGGCTGTAGTTGCTTCCTGGTTCCTGTCCTCTCAGGGAAAGCCCTGTATGGATGCCACTCCACAAGGAAGCCTTGTCCTACCCTGCTATTTATGCTTCTCAGCTATTGTGAGTGCCCTAAACCCTGAATCCTCTAACTCCACCACAGGGGGAATTCACATTGGAGATACTCTGTTAATAACAGCTCATTCTAAGCAATCTTAGGAAGTCCTAAAACAATTTGCCACATGAAAATTCATTATATAGCAGGAGACCAAGAATGAAAGGAGTCAAGTTAGTATAATTTAACGGGCAGGGTAATTACCTCCCTTGGAAAAGTCATTAGATGCCATACTTAATAGCTTAATGTGAAAAAAAATTACGATTCAGATCTTTGTATTAATCCATTATTGTATAAAAATTGCTTGACCAGTCCAGTGTTTAAATACTATACATACAACTTCAAGCATTTTACTTAGAAACAAGATCACCATTGGTTGCCATTTAAAATGCACGGCTAGGATGAAACGTTCTACAGCAGTGTTCGAAAATAACCAACAACTAGTTTACCTCTTTTAGGATTAACTTATTTAAGGCTTTGGACAAGGGAGACTCTCACACATTCATACTCTAAAATCCACCTGGTAGCAGTAAAGACATATTTGGGCAACATTACAGGACCTGTGTCACACTGGAACATGTCTCTGTCACTAGCACATAGCAGTTTATAATACTGTAATTAGTACACTGGACAATAAGAAATGCGGATCTCTGAGAAGATGAAAGCAATATATATCTATATAAGTGTGATACACGTATCTTTGAGGAAGAAATACTTTTCTAGTTGGATAAATAGTATCAATAAAACTGATAAACAGCAAGAGATAGTAATCCTCATTCTCTAGAATACGATACAAATAACACAAATGTTTAATGACATACTGCCGAAATTTAGTCATGAGAAGTCTCAAGGATACATATTAAATTGACCATCTGTAGAGCCAGCCGTGAAGCAAATTGTTCATCATTTTCCGTAAAGAACTGTTCAAGTGTGAATGAGGCAAGGCTATAAAAGTTTTCCAAACCAATGAATGACAAATGCAAAGCAGATTTTTATAATACTTAAAAATGAGACAAATTTGAACCTGTCACCTATAATATGGTATTCTTAATCAACCTTTGTTATTTTCACTATCATTTTTAGACTCCAGAATGAGGCAATGATCACATCTAAGTATATGTTTTCTCTTTCATTAGAACATAAGAATATAAACATACTTTATGACCCATAAGATACATTGAGAATGACTTCCCATCATCAGTACCAGCATTTAAAAGCAATTATTAAAAATTCAGTTGGAGTACTTAATGGAAAGGGAAATCATTCCTAGTTACTGGTTTTATAAATATAATAAATAAATAAATGATAGAATATAAATAAAATTATTAGAACATTATATAGGTAAGTCTAGAAGAATTTCCATTTTAAAATATAACTTTAAATAAATTTCTTGACATAAATGCAACCTAAAACAATTTTAAAAAATTACCCAAAGGAATCTGTTTGTGCATCCTCTAGGTGTCATACTTGACCAAGATTTGGGTTTGACCAGATTTATTTTAGGCTTCTTTCTATTATCCCTTTTCTGCCACACCCATCAAAATTTCAAAAAATAAAACATTTCACCTTTCATTTTTATAGTAACAGCAGATTTTCTTTTCTTTTCCAACTCTAACTTTAATCTTCATAGTTTCTTTTCTTCCTAAATCCTATTTATTTATAAACACATTACTATATTTGTTTGTTGGTTGATTGGCCACTGGTTTGTAATTTTGTATGGTTTTGCAATTTTGGTTTGTAAGTTTTTAATAATTTAACCTGTTTTTAAACAAGAACTCCTGCAAATAATTGGATCCCTCTCTGCTTTGTGCATCAGGTGAAAATGTCCCATATTTTAGTTCAGATCTTCCAGAGCTTTGGAAATGGTCACCCTCATTAGGCCTTACAGTGGGGAAGTATTTCAGCTCAGAGGTATGTGAGCTAGGAATAGTCCCTGACACAAAGTAGCAATAAAAGTTTAAAAATTTCGCCAGTAGTGACTTGGGGTAATATTCCCAGAGATGAGATAAATGCAATGGTTTTAACATTTAAGACGTAAAATGGAATGAACCATGCAAGATGGCTAGTTATCACCAGTAGTGTTGATGTCCTACAGAAGCATAGTGAAAATGTCTAGGCTTTCAAACAATAACTGTAAATGAAATGTGGAGACTAAAATTCCTCTTTTGGTAGCTGGAAAAGAGACCTTTGTTTCCTACAGTAAGAGAGGAGAAAATCATGAAGACCAAATTGAAAATGTAGGAACTAAAATTTTAAGTATAATTGAATTATCAACCAAAGCATGACTGTGGTTATGCTAAATCAAGGTTCTACTAGAAAGAAATCTGAGACCTAGTACAAGAGATGAGTTTATCCAGGTGGATGCTTCCAAAGCTTTTGGTTCCTGGGATCTTTTGCACTGTGAAATTCTTCAGTTGTAACCCATTTATCACAATTGAGATCTGACACCTAATCTCACCCCAACTCTGGCCTAAGACTAGCCCCTGTCTTTTGTTTTGGCTTATGAGTTAATAAGTAAATTGCAGTATAAAGCATCGCAGGATGTGCTGAGCATGTCATAAAACCAAAGCAGTATGGTGGGGCTGTATGGGTAAAAGGAAGATGAGTTTTTCATAGGGTTGAATTTTGTGAGTATTTCATTAAGGGTGCCAAGATATAAAACAAGACAAAAGAAGAATTAGAACTTGTGGCGTCACTCCAAAGGTATGGAAGGAAAAGTACAAACTAGTTGCTATGGTACTTTCTAGAAGTCTGGAGAAAGTGATGAACCACACTAAAGGGAGAGCAAATGCTGAAATTACCAAGGTAGGCATGAATGGGTGGGATTAAGAACATCAGGATTGGGACACACTCAAATGGACATGTTATTTAAGGGAAAGAAAGCCTCAAGGGAGGATCATGTTCTTCCAAAGGAGCACAAAGAAGATACCCCAACCATCAAGGTCATCAGGAATATGTTGGTGAAGGGGACACCGGCATCCTTAAGTTCCACGGTAGTACTTAAGGCCAGTGGTAGCAGCTGGAGGCACATAGGTTTTTGACATATTGGAGTTAATTTTTTGGTGTGACATGAAGCAAGGCTCTAGATGAATTATGTTGTACATATGTGTTTGCTATAGTTTGGCTCTTCAGTGGAATCAAAGGCACGTGTGTTGCCCGCTTGGTTTCCA